CTTTTGCCTCTGGCCTTGCCTGTGGCTTACATTTGACCCCTGAAAGGTTTCCTGGAGCAGAATGTGGCCCTCAGACTGAAAAATGTTCCTCACCCCTGCTTTACGGGGCCCAATCTTCAGGCCTGTCAACTTCAGTGGCCTGGAACAGTTGTAGCAAAAACCACCATGGCCGGGGCAAGCCAGCAGCAGGGGATCCACCACCCCTGTCCTTCTGGGCCTCTTGTTAGGCTTGTTCTTCCAGCACAATTTTTATTCTGGGTTTTATTGTTGGTCATTGTTTATAGAAAGGCAGAGTGTAAATGCAATAAAATAAATATAAATAAACCCTACTGGTGGTGTGTATCGAATAAACAGCCTCACTTCTGCATAAATATAGCTTCAGTTTCTAAAAAGTATACTTGATACTCTACCACTGAAGCATCATAGATAATTTCTCCCACTTTAGAAAGGGTCATGTGCAAGGCCAGTGTGCCTTCCAAATCCCTCTAAAGGGCTTAATACTGGTGTAGCACAGAGTTTATGCTCCCTCCCAGGGCAGACATGAGTGAGAGCCTGCATTTAAAACTAAAATAAAGCTTTTCCCTACTATCTATCATCTGCATCTTTCCCCACTCAGCACTCTGCTCTTTTATTGTGACCAATGACTCATGGCACTCTTATCTCTTCGATACCTAACAGTCATGGAGATCACATTGTCCATTTCTAAATAGGGGCCCAGCACAGTGACCCCCATTCTCTTCTGTTCTGCTTGAGCGACAGGTTTTTGCAGCAAGGTGCAAAAGTCGGTCCAATTTATTGCAGAGTCAAAGTTTGTGACTACCTGTAACCAGATCAAATGTAAGATATACTTTTGCTGTTAGAGGGAATATTCCCTTTAATTTGCATGTTAGTGATATGAAATTGCAAATTGTGAAATGAGTTTGCTCGTTTTTATAAAAACAATAACAACAGATGAACAATAAAGGCAAGGGAATATTTAAAAGTGGGGTAGGGGAGAAGAAAGTTTTACTAGTGAAATGGAACATCTCAGGTGCAGTATTCAGTTCCTCGTCTAGCATAATCCTTAAGCAGGAAAGTAGTGAATGTGTGTCAGATAGTCAGTTGTCCGCAGCTGTAGTCCAGGGTGTTGAATGCCCCCTCCCTTAGGAATGCATGTATTTATATTAATCAAAGATGAAGTGCCAGTAAAAAAACAACAACACACAGGTAAAGGACCCCTGGACAGTTAAGTCCAGTCAAAGGTGACTATGGGGTGTGGCGCTTATCTCACTACAAGCCAAGGGAGCTGCCATTTGTCCACAGACAGCTTTCTGGCTCATGTGGCCAGCATGACTAAACTGCTTCTGGCACAACAGGACACCGTGACGAGTGCCAGAGCGCACAGAAATGCTATTTATCTTCCTGCCGCAGTGGTCCCTATTTATCTGCTTGCACTGGTGTGTTTTCGAACTGCTAGGTTGACAGAAGCTGGGACAGAGCAATGGGAGCTCACCACCATCGTGGGGATTCGAACCGCTGACCTTCCGATCGGCAAGTATACTTAGGCTTCTACATAAAGGTTGACAAGGTGGGCCAACAGACCTGGCAGTCTTAGTTAGGCTCACGCTCTAGAGTCCCGGTTTAAAACAACTCTCAGCTTGTCTAAAATGAGGCCAATGCCACAATCTCTCCCCCCTCCTCAGTGTTAAGAGGATGAATGCATTCAGAATCATGAAGTGTTCTATCCCTACGTTCCATTTAAAAGAACAACAAAATTCAACACACTCTAGATTTCCTAAACTAACAGAGCTGCTGTACATCGTCTGTGGTTCCCTACTATAGGGAGATGAAAATGACTCATAATCCTCATGAGATCGTTTTCAGATTCAAAACTGCAACTGCCCAATTGGATAAATTATCACAGCTCAAGCTGACGCAAATGCCTTGCTAATACCCATTTGTCAACTTAATGAAATTCAGAAACAAGTTGCATGCTCATAATGAGCACAGATGCCTTCATGATGGGATCACAACCTTGAACAAGAGGAAAGCCAAGCTCAGAACAACAGATCAGCGCTCATTTAAATGAAAATGCATTCATGACTCTTACATATAGGCCATGGGTATCATGAAGCACAGAAGGCACTGATATTATTTGGATCATGTTCAAAAGGTGGCCTACTTTTTAAACTGCAGGTGAGCAGGATTTCTTCCATTCTCCTGCCTGAAAAATCTCATAGTTTTCAAAAATAAAGCCAGGGAACAAACACTGGTAAAAGGCTTGCTGTAATAAAGTAGCCACAAGAACCTCTGAAATATAAACATAAAGATCATTCTGCCAAATACTTACTCTGTTCTTTCACTAGACTCAATTAGCATTAATAAGGCATAGCAATAGCTGTAACACTTTGATTGCATTAGAGGAGCTTGTTGTGCAAGGTATGTGAGTGCAAGAATCACTCATTTCTTGAAGACTTGTCACAGAGCTATGCAGCAATTTGATGCAATGCACCAAATAATAAAAACGGGGGGAAATCTCATCTCACTACATCCAGAGCTAAGACCGTATACTTTTTTCCCCTACATGCACAGGTATTTCTTCATGAAACTTGTAGACAGCTGAAATGCACCACGGCAGTGACAGTGATGGGGTCAGATGGGCTCCTTCACTCTGAACATCTTTATGTCCCTCAAGCTGCGGAGTCTGCCTGGTGTTCTCTACTGTGCTGTCAGTCTAAGCAACTCAAAGAAGCAAATTGTTATTCCCCACATTTGGAAAGGCTGAAGGTCCTGAGTGTCTGGATCTAGGATAATTTCCTGGCCAAAGGTTTGTGAATAACGTAACCCATAAGAATCATATTTATTCAGTGAACTCATATATAACCAAAACAGCACCATTCCTGCACAAGAAGAAGCTATCATCAGGATTTGGGGGGACCCCAACATTGTAGGAGTACAAAAACTTTGGGGAGAATTAGGGGAGAACCCCTCCCCCCCCTAAAAAAAAGAAAAAACTTGAAGAGGACTGAACATAGTGACTGTGGAATGCCGGTTTATGATTGGATAGAGAAGGGGATGGTAAATTGTGGAGTGTAGAAGGGAATGGAATAGCCTGGCTGGAATCAGCTTGTAAATCTTCTCATCGGTTGAGTGGTGTTTTCAGGTTTCAGTATGCTTCACGTGTATTATCTAGCTGTAAGCCTTTCAACACTGCTGTAAAGCAGGGTCGGGCATGTTTTTCAGCTGCATTGACTTATGGTCAATTCTAGGGACCACATGCAAGTGCTGGATGGGGCCAGAGGCAAAAGTAGGTGGAGCAACAGGTGTGACTTTTCCCTTTGCGGAAGAGGCTACATTCCAGCTGTGCAAAAATATCTCTCTATCCCAGCAAACAAAAGGCATTTTCTCAAATTAAGGACACTTCCCACTAGACAAAAGCACTCAAGGAGGGCATGGAGCAGGAACACTGAGAGGTGTGGCCTGGGAAGAGACCTGAGGGCTAGACAGAGAATCCCAGATGGCCACATTTGGTCCCTGGGCCTACGGTTTCTGACCCCTGCTATAAAAGTTTAATCAGTAGTATTATTCCCCGCACTGCAGATGACAGGACTGAGTCACAGAATGTGTAGCTTGCTTAAGGTCACCTTGTGAATCAAGGTAGAAGCAAGATTCAGACCAGAGACTTTCCAATTTAAAGTTCAGATCCCATAGCCATTCTACTCAACCAAATCTAGCAACTATGTTTTTTTTGCAAAACTCTTAGCAAAGTAAAACTGCATTTTGCTTCATGTCGTATCTATCCTATGAGGTAGATCATGTCCGCATGAAAGCTGAGAGAAAGCACACATGGACTGCACATCAAGATGAGAGAATTATGCTCATTCTTAGAAATTAGAACAAAAAGTAAGTTCTATATCATGGGTGTGTACACACACACACACACACACACACACAAACTTTAGGGAAGAGTATTACTTTCTATACCCAGTTCCCAACTGAATTAAGTTTTTTTGCATCAAGAGACCCATTCTGTGCTCAGAATGCACTGCTTGCATATTATTTCCATCATGTATTGTAGTAGCAGTATCTGGAATAATACTGAATTCCAGGTGACCACGTTGTAACTTACCACAGCTTGAATATAACCACAGTGAATGTGGGTGAGCCAGTTGCTTTTATCATCCTGCCAAGTGGTGAGGAGAATTTTATTGCATATTGTGTGTGGAATGTATGTTGAAAAGTAATCTCTATATATTCTTTCAAACACTGGGTAGCTAAAGTTACAGTAAAAACAGGGAAACAATAGATGGATTCAGACTAGGCATTTCCACTGCTTCAGGAGGCTAAAAACGCTTAATTGCTTGAAAACATGATGGTCACAAAACCATCAGAACCTTTCAAATGACCCTGTAGGGTGATCTCACAAGTATGTAAATTGCTGCAGGAATATGCAGTGTACAATTGCTTGAAATAATAATACAGTGGTACCTTGGGTTACAGATGCTTCAGGTTACAGACGCTTCAGGTTACAGACTCCGCTAACCCAGAAATAGTACCTCGGGTTAAGAACTTTGCTTCAGAATGAGAACAGAAATTGCGCGGTGGCAGCATGGCGGCAGCGGGAGGCCCCATTAGTTAAAGTGGTACTTCAGGTTAAAAACAGTTTCAGGTTAAGAACAGACCTCCAGAACAAATTAAGTTCTTAACCCGAGGTACCACTGTAAGCATGACTTGGGAGAGTACAGCAATTTACCGGTACACATGTTCACAACTGTGTGATTATACGTGTATATAGCATTTGCAGAAGTAGTTTCACTGAAAAGAAAAACCGAAGCAGCCATACAATCATAGAATTGTAGCGTCGGAAGATACCACAAGGGTTATCTAGTCGAGCTCCCTGCAATGCCTAAAGTGTACCTGGCAGAGGGCTATCCATCCATCCAGCAGTCCTTTGTTACAAATCTTGGAGCCACATGTAGTAAACAATAATGGGTGGAGACATTGTGTGAATGGATGCTCACCAAAGGAAGGAATGACTCAAGTATCCAATAGGTTCAGTTAATTTATCCATTGCTGTCTCTGTCCAATGGCTCTGTCTCCCTAGAGCAGGAAACAAAAACAATACGATACGATAATCTTTATTGTCATTGTCCCACACAGAACAACGAAATTGAAAAAATCTACATCAGACATTCAAAAACCAACAAGCTTGCTATCCGAGATATCCCAGCCTGGTTAACCCCCTAAAAACTTGAGCAGTGCTTCAAAAGAATCATATTGCGATCACAACCTTATACTGTATGCATCTTTGTTTATTAAAATTCTATCCTTCCATTCCTTCCAAAGGAAGTATGAACACAGTGGTATTTATGGGGTTTACACCTTGACAATGGAGGTAGTGGAGGACAGAGGTGCCTGGCGTGCTCTGGTCCATGGGGTCACGAAGAGTCGGACACAACTAAACGACTAAACAACAACAACAACACACCTTGACAAACTGCAGCCTGAGTTTCCTGTTCCATTTCTTCCCCACTTCTTCCTTGGCAAGTGCAATTTAGCTTCTTGAGGAATGTGAAAAGTTGGTCCTCAGGTCTCTGCTTGGCATTCTTTCTTGGAGTCTTTGTATGGGCAGCTGATGCATTGAGCCCCCCCCCCCTTTTTTAAGTCAGTGACTGCATCCTCTAACTAATTTCCCACCAGCCAGCAAAGCTGGTTGGCAAGAGCTGCCTAGAGGAGGCCTCCTGCTGCTTGGGCCTGGCAAGAGCCTGCTCATTAGCACAGATGGGGGTTCTCATCTTTTAGGCTAATAGGAGCTTAATGGACTGGTTTTATTATCTGCCTGCTCCGGGCAAAAGCTTCACTGCCCACAGTGCTCTGAAGTTGTTGGGGATTTATTTTATTTTAATTTTTGACTGCCAGAATGTGTTACTGGCTGAAGGGTGACCCCGGACCAGCACTGAGATAAACAAAGGAGGACTCTTAACTCTTGTGTCACTTCTCTGCTGTTTAATCATGACCCTGGTTCTTATTTCATTTCTATATTTGCAGTCGTTTTTCCTGGCAGCCTTAACTGGTCACCCCTCCTGCACTCATTTATTCAGAGAGAGAATTCCTTCCAGAGTGTTTATTTATGGACAGTACAAGGAGTTTTGCACTTTGCAGGGGAGCTACCCTAGAGGGAGCGAATCTTCACTGGCTGGCATATTATGCATTCATAGTTACCTGAGCAATATAAATGCAGAGTGAATGAGAAGCCATAATTGGGTGGCATTGTGTTCCTGGCCCTCTGGTGACATCATGCTGAACAAAAAAAGAAAAGAAAAGAAAAGAAAAGAAAAAACAAACCTCTAGCATGTGGAAGAGGTCACATCGTATGCATCACCATCACCTGCATTTTTGGCAATAAAAGGCACAGTTGTTATTGGGGTGCTTTCACCCCACCGTGTCACCATTCCTAAATAGAAATGTTGAATATGAACTAAAGCAGAAGACAAAATTACAATCAACACAAGGTTAGAATGATGCTGGGGCTCCAGGAGCCCTAAAATCTATTTCATTCCGAATATTTAAAAATAAGAGTGAGGATTCACTTAAGGGATAGAGCTTCCCTGCTTTCCTCCTCCAGTATGCCCTCTGAAATTGGCTTGGGGAGGAGTCAGGAGATCCCCGCACATGGGGGAGGAGAGGGGAGGTTGTTCCTTCTGGCAAGCTGGAATGCTTGTGCAGACGGAGAAGTTGGAAGAGCACAATTGTTTTCTGCTGGCCTCTGTTTGGCCACTGTGTGAACAGAATCCTGAACTAGATGGGCCATTGGCCTGATACAGAAGGCTGTTTATGTTCCTATGTCCTTATCATGTTGAATTTAATCAAAGAGCTCTTTTGCTGCACTCTTTAGACCTTCCTCTAATTTCCTTTAATTGATTGCAACTTTCTTCCCGGTGCCCTCTCTCTTACATATAACAAACTCGGACATTCTCACAAGATGCAGCAAATGATGCTTACACTGGCTCCCCATCACATTATAAGGACCCTTTGGAGTTTTTTACTATTAACAGCAGCTTTGCAATCAGCTAAAAGCAGGTCTATCACTGTGGTTCCACACAGCACTTAATGTGGTGTTAAATTCTGCATTACACTCCTGCAATGCTCATCCTCATATCAAGGGCAAAAAATCAACAGCATGTTAGAGTGCCAGCCACAGCAGTACCAAACCCCCTAAACTGTCAACATTATTTTTAAATGTTTTGTTCATTAATATACTATTGGGTCAATACTCCAAAAAATACCGAAAATTTAAAAAGGCAAATGCATTCTCTTGCTATGTAATGACAGTGGTGTGAACAGCTCATACACTTTATAGGTACACTTGCAAAAATGTAGTGCAAATGCCCTTTAAAAAAAAAACACACGCTGACTTATTTAGCACTAAACATTTCCTACAGATTCCTTCCTATTTAATCCCACAAATCCACATTTCTTGTTCCGCCATTGAGGATGGAGAAGAATCAGTGGACAGAAGATGAGATTCCTCCTCCTCAAGCTCAGAAATATTGCCTGCAAAATACCCAAGGAATTTACATGGGTAGATAATGACCAAAATCCAGCCCACAGCTAAGCAGGCTTAAGCATATTAACTCCTTTTTTGGTTAGAGGCCAATGTCTTTCACGTGTGCTCCTCCAGACATATTTTTCCATTGGGGGGTGGGGGTGGAGGAATGCCAATGTGGAATGGACATTTTCCATCCTCTCTCGGCCCCGAAGCAAGAAACCAAGTATTTCTGATGGTGGGAGTTTGAGTCCCATCAAAATATCTTAGGATAAATTATTTTACATGTGCAAAACTTAACACAGGATCTGTTCAGAACTGAGTCTAACCAAGCAAATGTTGTTTCCTTTTGGTTGCATGAGCAAACTGTGCTTGCTGATTCAGTGATTAGAAGCCACCTGCAGCCTCACACATAAGTTTCTTCCCTTTACCCACTTCCTGTTACATGTTACCCCAGCTCCTAACTTTCATTAGATCAGCACTAATTTGAGATCTCTAGCCCAGCAGTTGTTTTCTTTTTTCTTCCCTTGAAATAGAAACTAGTGTTGAGCCAATTCCTCAACATGAATTGATGAATTCTTTCTCCCTGTCTAAACAGTACAGATATTTCCTTTTTATATATAACTGCTAGGGGCTGCTAAAACCAGGGTGTAAGAGGAGTGTGGCTGTAGGATGAAGGAAAACCCCAGTACACTAACAGATCCTTTTATTTGAAGTACTACCACAACTTAAGCCATGAACTTAAGTTTCATGCTTCGCAGCAGTAGAAATAACAGCACCAATTTGTCTTGCCCACGCTTCTCACAGGATTGTTTTGGCAAATACAAGTTTCACTGCCCCTCCACCAAGGCAACCTCTCTTTTAGGTAGCATGTGTTGATCACAAGTCTGCAATGGTCCCTGTTCTGACTAATTGCCCTACTTCTCACAAATGCTTTTCAATGAAACTGCAAAAGTAAAAAGCAACATGAGTGTGTTGTCTCCTTGAAATTACAGCCAAGATCTGCTTCTCCCAAGGGTCGTTTTCTGGTTGTTTACACAGCAAATTAAAATGACAATAATTACGTAGACATATTGGGTGAGTATGTCTCATCACGAGTGATGGACACTTGATTGGACAATGCCAGTGACATGACGATCCCTCAGTCAAGTTCTGAAAGCAGCCTCAATACCAACAGGAGTGAGGTCCGGACCATTTACTTCCTGTGAATTTGGGTTTCTAAGCAATGGTGGCACAATTTGGAGAAGTGTGACTAAATAGATACGGGGATCCATTGATTTCTCAGAATAATCTTCTTCAGCAATCACTTGTAGCTGAGTAAGATTGTCTTCCATGAACACGGCCTTAACAGTGTGTCCATAGGTGACTATGGAGGCCAATTCTGGATCCACACGCCTTTTCACAGTGGGGACATAGGTTTCCAGGCGGGAGTTGATCATGGTGAGGGTTTGCCAAACATGCCTTCCTCTTAGCAAGTTTCTCCCTTTTGTCCTAAGTTTGAGCGTCTTCAAAGTCCATGACACCTTTGGTAAAGGCTTTTGTGGTGCTGCAGAGGGGTTGTTTTGTGCGTGTTGGTGCAGCACTTTTGGTTTTTGTGATGTTGAGCGATAGGTCAAGCTTTTTGTAAGCTTCTGCAAATATATTTAGGATAGCTTAGAGGTAATCCTCTGAGTGCGCGCACACTACGTTGTCATCAGCATACTGAAGCTCTGTGATGGAAGTTATGGTAACCTTACTCTTTGCTTTCCGCCTACTCAAATTAAAGAGCTTTCCATCTGTTCGATATATGATTTCTACGTCAGTGGGGAGTTTCCCTTCAACAATGTGTAGGATCATGGCAATGAAGATAATAAATAGAGTTGGGGTGATAACATAACCCTGTTTAACACCTGATCCCACTGTGAATGGTTTACTTTAGAGCCATTGTTATCTGCGATTGTTGCTGTCATATCACGGAGGAGCCAAACGATGCTCACAAATTTATCTGGGCAGCCAATTTTCAGAAGGACAGTCCACAGGGCATTGCAATTTACAGTGTTGAAGGCCTTAGTCAGGTCAATAAACGTCATATACAGAGGTTGGTTTTGAGCTCTGCATTTTTCTTGAAGCTGTTGAGCAGTGAAAATCATGTCCACTGTTCCCCTAGAAGGTCAAAAACTGTTTTGGGATTCAGGAAGGGTAGCCTCAGATATAGTTAAGAGACAGTTTGCTAAGATCCTTGCAAGAATTTTGCTAGCTGCAGCTAATAAAGAGATGCCTTGATAGTTTCCGTAATCCGTTCCATCTCCTTCTTTAAAAAAGGTTGATAATTTTGGCATTCCTATAGTCGGCAGGGATCTTTTTTCTCTCCCAAAATTTTTCAGTGAGCTTGTGAAGTTGTTGTGTAAGTTCAGTTCTGCCCACTTTGAAGACTTCGGCAGGTATCCCATCAGGTCCACTGACTTTGTTGTTTTTCATTTGGTTACTAGTTGTACACAACTCTCCCAGATTTGGAGATACTGCAAGCTCGTCTCTAATTTGTCTTTGCGGTATTTATGAAAGGACCTCAGCAGCTATGGGGGAGTTGCAGTTAAGGAAATGCTGGTAATGTTATTTCCAGTGCAATGCAATAGCTTCTTTATCTTTTAGAAGTGTGGTACCATCTGTTGAGCATAGGGATCATATGCCATGATTTATTGGCCCATAGATGGTCTTTGTGGCTTTAAAGAAGCTCTGTGCATCATGAGTGTTGGCTAAGTGCTGGATCTCTTGAGCTTTTTTATCCACCAGGTGTTCTTTACTTCTCTGGTTCTTCTTTAAACCTCAGCCTTAGTGTTGGCATAGGTTTTTTTCCCTAGTGGCGCAGTTTCTATCTCTTTGCCAGGTCTGAAAGGCCTTCCTTTTCTTGTCAATAATGCGTTCAATCTCACTCTCATTCTCATCAAACTAGTCCTGGTGATTCTTGGTCTGGTATCCAATAGTTCACAGGCTACAATAATGGATGTTTTTAGCTTGGTCTAGTGTTCCTCAATGTTATCAGGGAACTCCAAAAGCAGATGGTCCTTAAGAGTCATTTGGAAGCAATCCCGCTCAATAGGATCTTGAAGGGCTTGAGGGTTCATTTTGCACCTTGGTTTCCTTCCTTGAAGCCTGTGTTGAGTTATAATCTTGATAGCCATCATAGAATGTATTAATCAGTGATCTGTCCAGCATTGGCACTTGTCATATCTCTGGTAAGGAGCACTTTGCAGCAATATTCAGCTCACAAAATTACATAGTCTAAGAGGTTCCAGTGGTTCGACTAAGAGTGCCTCCATGATGTTTTTAATTTATTTTGTTGAAAGAGTGTGTTGGTAATATCAAGGTTGTGCACTGCACATATAGTCAAAAGTAAGATTCCGTTCTGGTTGCTGTTGCCAATTCCTTCTTTCCCAATAGTCCCAGGCCACAGATTGAAATCCTGCCCAGTTCTTGCATTAAAATTACCCACTCATCACAACAAGGTGATGTTCCAGTGAGTGAGGGAAAATAATAGCTGTACACTGACAAGATAGTATAAGCAGTGGGGTGGATGTATAGTTGTGTCACTGATCACTAGTGAGATCACAGGTACTGTCCAGTAAGTACTGTTGATGATGCACTGTGATGTTCTACATGCATCTCAATGGCAACAATTACACATTTGCCCAGGAACAAAGTATTCTCTTTTGAGGACAGAAACATAGGATGCTATTCAACCAAGCTTTACCCAGAGTAGCCCTATTTAAATTAAAAGACCTAACTTAGTCATGTTCATTCATTCATTTCTACGGATCTACCATCACTCCATGCATCAGCACTGGTGATCACATGCTTGAGGTGGTAGACAATTTTGTCTACCTGTGTTCCACCATATCCAGTCACCTCTCCA